ATATATATATATATATATATTATGACTGTTATGATTATATTTATATTTCTATATGTATAATTATAGGCAAATAATTTAATGAAAAAATAAATTTTGCTACTGTTACATTTTGCATTAATCAATTAGTTACATTACATAATAACTAATGCATATAAAAATTATATTTAAACTATCTATTCAGAATAATTATTACCTTTTTTTTTTGTAACTCATTACTATTTTTTTTTATTAGAATTAGTTAATTGCTTTTCATGGCATAACGAAACCACTTAAATTTTTGCTCAAAATTGTTATAGTAATAATTTTAATGTTTTTTTATTTAATTACTTGGTCATAATCACTCAAAATTTCCAAAATTATATTATTGCAATCAATATAGTGATCTATATGTATGTTTAATAGTTTATACTTATATCTTTTATGTTTGCAAACAATAAAATTTCTAAAATGTGATATACTCATTATCTAACTTATAATTATAAATTTTATATGCACATACAAAATAACATATAAAAATTTATTTGCAACTGTGCATGTGCACATGATGGAATACTAATTATAAGTATATTAAGGAGTGAATAAATTTTTTATTATAAAGTAAATAATTTATAATTTATCAACTTTTTTTTTCACCAATAATTTATTTTCTCACTAAAAAACATATATAATGTAGAATTTTAGAGGCCACAACCACAGGCCCACGGCTCATTGCTTAGCAATTAGCATACCGTAAAGGTCCAAACTTCTTCAAGCAGGGAAAACTACTGGGCCAAAGCCCAAATGTTACTCATCCATTTCCCGCCATTTTCACTACAATCTCTCCGTATATAAGCGGTCCACGACTCCATGAACACACTCGTGAGCTCCATTTTCCCACTAATGCACGAGCACCATCAAAGGAAAAGAGGAAAGAAATTATGCCTGAGATTGATTATTCCAAGTAACTTTTTACATCGACTTTGTAGCGGTTGCAGTCTGCTAATGTTCGCCGAGACTGATTTGCGATAACGAAAATGAAGATCAACAAAGTCGTAGATCTCAGCTACATCTCCGTTCTTCCTCCTCAATCGAGGTTCAATTTATTCTCCAAAACACTTTTTGATTGTTTTTTGTGATGGAGATATGTAGTTCGTTGTAGATTGACGCGCACACACACACACACACACGAACATAGATTAATGTTATGACGTGATCAATTGAAGATTAGCGTAGACGCAGAGTAATTAGAGTTGCTGGTTTAGTTTTTAATCAATGTATGAGAATAGTGCAGCAAAAAATATCAAATTACAAACTCCGGCAGTGTTGAAACTGGCGAAGTCTGATGGGCATTTTACTTATAAGAACGACGTAATCGCTGGATTATTTGATAATAAAATGGTTTATGATACTGATTACTTGTTTTTCAATTTTTTGGTGTGTGTATGTGTTTTTGGGGATGGATTAACAAGGAGGTCGAGTGTGGTTACTAGTGGGTTAGAGTCCTCTTCAACCTATGGGAGAAGCCAAACAACATCACAGCTTCGGCCACGGCATTCACAACTGACACTTTCACAAGGAGTTTCATCTCAGCATGGTCTCTTCTCTCAATTCTCACAGAATTCGCAGGACGAGATCCTCACTGGCGAGGTAGTAAATGAGTATTGTTATGCATGCATTGGTAGCTTAGTGAATAAGAGTTTTGGATCTGTAATATTGTTGAATAATTAAAGCGCATTTTCTTTTAAAAAAAATATACGTGTCGGTGATTGTATTATACCTCAGTATATACATGTAAATTATCAAATATTATTAATGCCTAACGTAGATGATCATTGACACTTATTTCACGGATAAATGTAGCGAATGGTAACAAATAGTTTGGTGAACTACCTTGTATTCTATTCCTTGTGTGTTTGTATGGTAAGATTCATTGAGTATTCATGCAAATTTACAATATTTTGAAAGTTGTATGGTTATCTAAAATTGTAGACATGCCAATTTTACCATTAACACGTGTAGGAGAAAATTTCGATAGCATTATCTGTTAAATGTAAGAAACATTTATTTTCTCGTACACACTTATAGTTAAGAAGAAGACTTCCAGAACATAATTCCAATTAGTTTTTTATAACTGGTGGTGCAGTTTCTTGAGAAGGATTGTTATTATGTAAATTGGTTGCTCACTAATACCCTTTTATTCTTCCACTCAATGTGCAATGAAACTGGTCGTCCACCTCCTTCTACAAAATGAGACCATTTTGTTGACTAAATGCACCAAAACCATGAAAAAACACCATATATTCGGGATGAAGCTTATCTGATTTATTTAACTATTATGGCGTTGTCAGTTTGAGTATACCTTTCTTGCTAACTTGCATCTAACTTCCGATTTTTTTTCTTTTTTCTTTTTCTATAAATAGGGATACCAAGAAAGAGAGAATTCAGTTAGAAGGTCATATTGCCAGCCCCCAGTCAGTCAAACTAGAGAGGACAGTCAGATGATGACATCTAAAACTTCCAACAACATGATGCGCAGGTGGTCTGGTCAAGAATACAAAAGTAAGATTCACAGTGATGGAAAATGCTACTACTTATCATTGGCCTCTTTGTTAATTCAAAGTGAAGGTGGGCTATTCAACAATCTTAATTATTCTTAAAGTGTTCCAATGGTTATATTGGAGTAGACACGTTTTCTCCTTTCATTCTGATTTTGAGTGAGGGCTTTTACATGAAAATGTGGTTCATGTTGTCTGATTAAGAAAAGCTATATGATATTTCTCGTCTGATTAAAGTTAGTCACTCAAATACAGGCATCTTAATTTCAACTAGCAGGTCAGAGTAACGAAGAACTTGAACACATAATTGGAGTGATGAAAACTTCATTAAGCAGGCTTGCAATGATTTTGGACAATGTTCAGAGTGATGTAATCCAAGTAAACAGGTGTACGAAGGAAGTATCAATAGAAAGTGAGTATACCACACCTTTATCTTGAAAGTGAAAACCAAATTAATCATGCAAGTGAGAAATTCGTGGCTCATTCCCATAAAGTTTTTACTTGAGGCGGCTTTGTCTCTAAATTTGAAAAATGATGCATGACCATTTACAATTATGTGAACTTTGTTACCTTTTAGGTAGTTCAATACTCACCTCCAATGTTAGTTGCTTGTACGCTTTAAATGTCAAACTTTGTTGTAATTTGACGTTTAAGGCTATGCTAAAAGATGAAGTATAGGGGGCATGATTTGCTACCAAATTGACACAGTTTCTTCTTGAGCAGTGAAAGCTGTGGAGCAGAAATTGAATGTTCAAGATGACATACTGCAAGCAGTGGTATAATTTTCTTTGTCTGCCTCTTTACTGTTCTTAAACACCGTTGTGCCCGCGTCACATGAATTTCAAATCAACTATTTATAATTAACCAGAGCAAAGGACAAGAAGACATCAAAATGTGCCTGGATGTGGGCCTGAAATCTATGATCGATCAGCTTATGCAGCAAGTGAAACATTACAGTTTGGAGACTATAGTCTCAAATATTTCAGCTATATCAGAGAAATTCGAGACTCGCTTGGTGAAATTGCAAAATGACCTCCACATGGATTTCTGCAAAGAAATACAGACATGTGCATGTAAACATTATTTTCTTGGCTCATTGAAGAACAATGATTGACTTTTATATCATGTCAGAAATTTGTGTTAATTTCTAGCAAAATTTATCTCTCTGTTCAATTTACTTGTAGGCAATGTCATGCAGCATGATGATTTCCAAACAAAAACAAGAAACAGATTCCATTAATGGGCCTAAGGTACCCTTATGTGCAAATGTAAGAGATGGAGACCAAGTAACATTTAAATTTTAACAGTTTCTTGAATAACTTTTGAAGAGAACTTTACTTATTACTTGTTTGTAGGTTGTCAGCATCATGCTTCTCACCAGGAAGTTCAGTATCCAAACAAGTATGTTGTCTTGGCTCCCATCAACAGACATTGTATCTTCGTCATCCTTGAAACCCATTCATCAACTCCAAACCAAATTCATTGTGGGGTTATGTAGGTTAACTTATGGAATATGTTTTGAGTTTTCAATGTTGTTTGAATTATCCGAGAGGGCTTAAGCATACAGTTAACTTGGAGGAATTTAAACGTTTCATGGAGGTGTGCCCAATTGCAAGTCCTGTTCTGGTGCACAAAATGCACAAGCTTCTAGTGGTTCATTACATTCATCATTTAAATTGCACAAGTTTCAAAATTACACTCTTCTATCCTGCTTCATAGTTTTGAGCTTCTGCATTTTGGTACAAACCATTTCCTAGATGTTTTATGGTCTTCCCAAACCAAGATAAACTTTTAGATATAGGCACTAAGAGAGCAAATAACTTGACTATTGTCGTATTGAACAATTTGCATTCACTAGTATCCTTACCTGTCTAACAATGTTTCCGCAAGGGAGTAGATAAGAACATATAATGTCTACAAGAAACTGAAAGTAAGATTTCAACACAAATCGTCGGAAGGAATGTATCAGATTATACATGTAAAGTAGAAGCTAGTCTCACTTCCCTTATCCCTTGACAAGTCAATTTTATCTTGTAAAGGTACTTTTTGGCCACCTATCCTATGCACTGCATAAAGGTCGTAAATAATCTTGCGTTCTGATTACCTGCTTCAGTACATAGCCTGACTGCTTTTATTTTATAGATACATGCTCCAGAACATGTTTTAATGTCCTTGTTAGTTACTTATTACATTGACTGACACGTTTTTGTCGCATGTAGTGCAAAAACTCACCTAAAACAACAGCAAAGAGGCCAAGAGCTGAAGGTTGACACTGGAATCTGGACATCAGTCAGACAAGAAAGAGCAACTGGGGCCGTCGGAAATCTTAGGAGAAACTACCAGATAAAAGAATCTCTAAATCGAAAGGTAGCTCATTGGCTGTCTAACTACTTTTCTTCTTGTGCATGTCACCTTAATTGGCAAGGGGACACCTGATCATACTACAGACCATGTACACTCAATATCTGATAATACTATGCCATTTATCTGGTGAAATTTGTCCGAATCAAATATTGGTACAACTGCCATCAACATCTAAAGTTCTTTCAAAATTAGTGGCACGACATTTTCTTTTTAACATACAGACTGCAATACAATATTGTAACTGATATTGATGTGGGAACAGGAAAACAAAGTTGTCCTCGACTCTGACGAGGAAACTGATGAAGGTTTTTCCTGCTTGCTTATCGGAAAGGGAGAAGGTAGAAACTTTTTTCGGCAACTTTTCCCCACACTAATTTTATGTTCTTTCAGGAATTTTAGTAGAAAAATGAAAGTTGTAATGGTTTTTTATGCAATCTTCTCCACTTTCTGCAACAAATACATGCTTGCCTCACTGAATTAGTCAATTCCAATTTTTACTCAAGGTAATACTGAATCTAACTTGCGTCGTAAACTTTTATCTAAGATTTTAGGTACTACAAAATGCTTCTTAGAGAAAAGAGTAGCTTTATTCAGTGCTCGTTTATTCTTAGTACAACTGTTTTCATGCTCAGAGATGGATATGACTATGACGCCATGCAAGAAACTACACGTATTCTGAGGAAGGCGAGGAAGAGAAAAAGAAAATATCGCGATACCATCATTATAAACTGAAGGTATGCCTTTGATAATATCTCAACTATCTTTTCATTTGATCTTTCGCATTTGTTTTGCTCTAGCTATTGCCATGTTTGAGCCCTTCACAACTTGAAAGTAATCAGTAACCCGACAATCCAAATATTATCTGAGCATTGGTATGTTGACAAATAGTGTGCTCTAGCTAAAACCTTAGTGTATACTGATATATTTTCTGTTATCATCTTTTTTTTTTTTTTTTTTAAATATAATTTTGTTTAAGTTACAAAAAATTTGATGTTATAGCTTGATAAAATCATCAGCTCCTCAGTATTAATCAGCCCAAAATAAGTCTGGATTTAAACGGGATACGGGAATGTGGACTCACCTGGAACCTAGAGGACTTCGGGCAAATTAGAAATTTGAATGGAAAAAATTGAATTATAATATACACAAACATTTAATTTTGAAAAGGTTTGCATTTTAGTTAGGTTGCATTAATATACAATAAAGCTAAATATTTTGTAAAATATATTGATGTTGTAATAAATGTTTCTAGTTATATGCAAAATGGGTTGGTTTTGTTTTACTAAAAATATATTAACAAAATTACCAAATATAATATGATAACGTATTTTAAGATAATATAACTATTATACAACAAAAGAAAAAATAATTAATTTTAGTAGATTTAATAACAAGAAAACAAATATAAGTATTAAAGTTTTAGCTATAGGGAAATGCTACGGTCCGTTAAAGAACTATTCTGTCGGGGTTTGTAACCGTTGGATCATCATATAACACTACAACAAAAAACTCTTACATTCCAACGAAAATTTTCCGTTGGAATTCTTTATATTTTCCATCGGAACAGCTATTCCAACAATATTCCTACGTATAAAAATTCGTGGGAAAATCGGCCATTGGAATAGCTAAAATCTAACGAAAAATTCAATGGAAATAAATTCCAACGGAAAAAATTCGTTGGAATTTCTCAACTATTCAACACTTATTCCAACATAAAATTATGTTTGTTGGAATATTCATTAAAATTTCCAACGGAAATTTTTGCCGTTGGAAATTTTTGTTGGAATTGAAGTGTTTTCTTGTAGTGTAACCGTCGGAGATAGTTGATCTAATGGATACAAATCCCGACGAAATGATTTTGTAACGGGATCATTATATTAATAAAAAAGGGTTAGTAGGCTAAATAAGGGAGAAATAAGCGATTTGATTTATCTTGTCAACTTCCAAGCGCAACATTGCATTATCATCACATAAATTTTCACTTAAAAAGACTTACATGGGCCCTTTAGGACATCATCGAGTACTTCCACCATCCCGAAAATTCCAGGATCTAATCTTCCAACAAACGTAGGTTACTACATAATCCTACCTAATCCCATTCGCATTAAACTAATCTTGTTTATTGGAATAGCTAATTTTATTTACACGCAATACATAAAGTTATGGATAACTCTATAAGGGAACCATTCGATGACTCCATAGTATATCTGGACGAAACGAACCCTTTGTTTATTTCACTCGAAAACATCAATGACCTTTGTCCTACTTGAAGATGAAGACATCCATGAGGATTGAGGAGTCCTTGAGTTCAATGATTTAAGAGCTTGTTATTTTTATATTCCACCTTGGATTATATAAAAGTATAAAAACCTTGTCTCTTGTATAAGTCTTTGTTTGAATCCGATCATATTCATTAAGATAATAAAAGGATTATAGGAACAAAATTAATTAAATTGCAATTAAATTTTGGGCCCACATGGTTGTGGTCTAGACATCAAAAATATATATGGATCCACATAAAGTCCTGTACTGTATGCTTTTGGAATAAATTTACAATAAATTTATATACTTTTAAATTAAAACTATTTTAATTTAAAAGAATAATATAAATAAAAGTATAATTTTTCATAGTATAAATATGTATTTTTTTTCGGTAGTCAGCCACAGTATTCAGAGCTTTGCCCTGACTAATCCGTTGGTCGACTCGGGTCGCACATCTGACAATGGAGGGTGAGTCTCCCAACAAGAGTTTTCTGCATTCACAAGGGCTCGAACACGAGACCTTGCTTAAGTGACATCAAACTGTTTACCACTTGAGCCAACTCAATGTATTTTGTTAAAAGTATTCGCCACTCTGTAATTCTATTGATCTTGGAAGAATACCTTGGGTTATCGTTGAAGTCAAACAGTTGATGTGCTGGAACTGGGTAAGGTCGATACTACCCATGTGGGTAGTGCTCTCGTGGGCTTTTTGACCACATATTCACACACACTCACACACATACACCCATATAGGTGTGTGTGAAATTTGTGGTCAAAAAACCCATGAGGCACTACCCACATGGTAACATAAAATCTACACTGGAACTGAATTTGAAAATTAATTTCATGTCATTTTAGGTTCAAAATTTGATTACAAATGGTCTTGATAAATTCATAACATTAAAAAATTTAGTTATAAAAATGTTGACATTTATAAGAGACTATATTAATTCATTTTAAAAACATTTAAAATAGCAATCCGATTAAAATTGTCTGTCTAAATAAATTTTGATTTGAAAATCCTTTTTAATTACTCAAAAAACTATATATTAAATCAAAGAAGGTTAATTTCCTTATATTATATCAGTAATGTTCCTCTATCTACGATGGACACATGTTAATACGCCCACCGACTTATATGGCATGCACATATTGGTGATGTATTTTTTTGAACATACTAACATCACCAATATGTGCATGCTACATAAATGGTGAACATATTAACATGTGTCCACAGTGAATAGAGGAGCATTACTAAATATTACATACCCCGTGTTAATATAATTATATCGATTATGGAGGGACTGAAAGATTAGGTTTCATTATTTAAGTACAGGTACAACATAAAATATTTATGGGGAGTCATTTTCAAGAAGAGTGTCCAAAGGAGAGTCAGCATCCTATGTCCCTGTATGTATTAGTAGTCTCTCACTTATCTCAGCCGACACACATTTGAAAAAACGAAATGTTATAGTTACATAATGTTGTACCTAACACTCACATTTAGTGGGATCTACAAAAAAAATTAGTTGACCACACTTAATGTGAGTGTTATGTACAACTCTATGCATGTTTATTATGTACTTCTAGCATTTTTTTTTTTTTTGAAAAAATAGTAGTACTATTGTTAGACAGGTTAGAAAACAATATTTTGTAATAAATCTGTATATTGCGAATTAAAATATCCCATTCAGAGGAAAAAAAAATTAATAAAAGTATGTCATATGAAGATTTTTTGTTATGAATGTGTGACATCGACTCCCTATCTTAATATAAATATAAATAAGCATTTTTTTGTTATGAACGTGTGACGAATGGACTTTCTAACCGTCAGGTTGGCTCGAACAAGAACTTGTGTTTTTATAAATATAAGAAAATGTGTGTTTCTTTCTAGAAGTTAAAGAGAGAGAAAAAAAGGAAGATAGGAAACCATCGAGGTTAGGTTTGATTTGGCCATAATCTGTAGTTTCATGGATTGATTATTTGTACCAGACTTCAATATTTCCATTTGATCTTCCGAAAAAAGACAACTGCCATTTTTCCACATTGACAATTATTTTCTCAATAGAAAACAATGTCTTTAGAATTAGAAAAAATAAAATTATGTTGGTTCATGCATGCCACCTAATTTTTGATGGATTAAATTTGTCCGAAAGCAATTGAGAAAGCATTATTATTATTTGATCTAGTATATAATTTACTACAATCTAGCATCAAAGGGTCAGAGTGGTGGTCTTCAAAGGTTGACGAGCTCCTCCGCAAGGTGCGAGTGTTTGATTACACCATGATAGGGTTGGCGTGTGTTACCCTTGGTCGGTTCTAGTTTAAGCTTTATGTAGTCTCCTTTTCTTGCATTAATAAAATGTTAGATTTTGGACTTTAGAAGTTATTTCATTTCCTTTCGCTAGAAGCTTTAGTAAAGACTGCATGTATAATAATTGGTTTGTCAACCAATATTGGGCACCATGTGGTGAGGAGA